TCAAGTCAGTATAGATCGGATTCTGTATTTAGTTCGAGGTGAGATTCGATACCTGAGCGTGAAATGAAGCCCTCTATTTATAGGTGATGGATCCGACAGTACACACGACCAGCGATTATATGTCTTTTCTCATGTCGAACCTGTCGGGTTCCAAGCAGGTCGGACCCAAGCCAGGTCGAACCGTAATGCCCATACTTAGCCTTTTTTGTAATGGGCGAACCCGGTCTCCTCGGCAGGGCCGAGGTGGACCTAGGCAATCTCTCTTATTTAGCTTCCACAAACACCAATGAGAGTCCTCCACGTGTCCCGGGCACATTTTACCCTCAAACAGTCTTCAACACTTAATATTCGCAATATGTTGTGGAAGGATGCATGGAAAATTGGCGTTTTTTACTACCAAAGTTTTTGGGATTGGATTTTTTACCTCTTTTCAAAATTTAAGTTTTATCAACAATTAACAAAAACAAAGATTTCATATATGATTTCTCTATTGATCACTTACTTAAATCCTTCTTTTGGTTTGCTTTTATGATTAGGACTCATTTGCACTCAATTTAGTCTAATATACCACAATAGCTCTCTTCTGGAGAGTTATCAGTTTGTTGGGTATATATGGTTGGAATTGAGTGAGACCTTCAACTGCACGGAAATATTCTAGTGAGTTTTGTGGCTAAGTTTGAAGGTCGGCCCTCCGTCATTTATGGGAAGACCAACCCCTCCGATCTTCCTCTGTCCTCCACGTGTCAAGGCTATTTTTCTACCTCCAACAGTTAGGAACACTTATGATACAATATAACATGAACACAAAACCTAAAACCTAACACATATCGTGCATCTCTTGACATATTTCTAGGAACTCGCCCTTTTTCTTTCCATCACAAAGTTTTAAATTCATCGTCTAACTCATTTTTCCAAAACCAACAAATTGATTGGTGTAAGTCGAACAGTTCATGATCATTTCTTTCTCTCATTACTAAAGGAACCTTAACACACGACAGTAGGACTTTGACCTTTCAATTTTCAAAGATAAACCTATCAAGAAGCCGTAAACCTATCAAGAAGCCGCACTAATTAATCTATAGTGCTCTTCTTAAATAGGTGTGGCTCAAATTGATTGGTTTAGAATCTAAGGAAACTATGAAAGACAGTTACCTAGTTAGATTGATGAGAGAACAATATCTGGATCAAAACCTTACCTTTCTTTGATCTCTTTAATGAAGTGGAAAAGAACTTGTTGTTATAACATCCATCTTTTAGGATAGAGGGGTCTCTTTGGTCGTAGGCTTGAAAATTCTATTTTCCTTTTTCTTTTTAAATTTTTACTTTTAAAAAAGTATTAAATTTTTTAAACAATTATCTATATAGAAAAAATGTACATGATTTGGTCAAATATCTTCAATCAAGTTATATTTATAGTTGTCAACTTGGATATAA